CCTCCAGTGAGGGCCCTTGGAGGCCCCCTGAACTGCAAAAGGCCACCAGAGCACCCCTGAACCTAGCATTGGGGTGGGAATTGCAGGTGGGGACCCCACAATGCATCTGAGAAATGAGTGTGGGTGGTGGGGACACCTCGGAGCCCAGGCTGTCTGGCCCCAGGCTTTGTGTAGTGGAAGCCCTCTTTGGGGACCTGGGGACCCTGTGGGCCTGCACAAGCCAGCTGGTGACTCCTCTGGCCTGGTGCTGGTCAAGCGCCTTCCCATGTTGACAAAAGGAGGATATGAAGCAGGGAGGGCCCCAGCCAGAAGCCACAGAAACTGGGGGACCCAAGAATGGCAGGCAGGTCAGGGCTGGCCTGTGGGGCAAGGGTGGTGGTGACCACAGGTTCTTGTTACTCTTTCTGCACTTTCCACACCTTTTGTAAGGTGAATAGAGTATTTCTGTCATTCAAAAACAACTTCCTTAAGAAAAGCAAGATAGAAGCTGTTGCACGGGGAAGTGAAGGATAACACAGGCCATGGGAACAGTTGGGGTGCGGGTGTCAGGGCCCAGGCCCTTTCTAGACAGGAAGAGTAGGGGCTGGGGCAGGAGGACATGTGTCCAGGGTGGGAAAGTCCAGTGCCCGGTGGTCATCTCCACACTTCCCCACAGCCCGGAAGCAAGAGATCATCAAGACCACGGAACAGCTCATCGAGGCCGTCAACAATGGCGACTTCGAGGCCTACGCGTGAGTCCCCGGGGCTGGCGGGCCCTTCGCAGGGTGTGGGAGGGACACGTACCCCTCCTCACTTGGGTTTGCCCCCCAGGAAAATCTGTGACCCCGGCCTCACCTCCTTTGAGCCAGAAGCTTTGGGCAACCTGGTCGAAGGCATGGACTTCCACAGATTTTACTTCGAGAACCGTGAGTGGGGAGTGGGGAGCGGGGCAGGGGGGCCAGCAGCGCGGGGTGCACCACACCAGGGTACACAAGCGGAGGGCATGCGGGTGGCATCCGTGCCAGCCCTTGGTGCCAACCCCTGCCGTCCACAGTGCTGGCCAAAAACAGCAAGCCGATCCACACGACCATCCTGAACCCCCACGTGCACGTCATTGGCGAGGACGCAGCCTGCATCGCCTACATCCGCCTCACGCAGTACATCGACGGCCAGGGCCGGCCTCGAACCAGCCAGTCCGAGGAGACACGGGTGTGGCACCGCCGCGAGGGCAAGTGGCAGAATGTGCACTTCCACTGCTCAGGGGCGCCCGTGGCCCCGCTGCAGTGAGGTGAGCAGGACGAAGGCCATAGGCCGGGCCGGGGCAGGGTGGGCTGCAGGGTTGTGGGGCTGCGGGGCTGTGGGTGGCTGGGTGCTGAGGAGCGTCACCTGCCCTTTCAGAGCGGCGCCTGGTCTAGCCGGACAGAGTCGGTGTCTGCAGCCCGGCCACCTCGGCCATGGCCTGCCTGTCGCATGTTTGTGTCGCCTGGTCCCCTCCCCTGGTGCCTGTGTCTGCAGAAAAACAAGACCAGATGTGATTTGTTTAAAAAGAAAAAAAAAAAAAAAACATGAAGACAACGACAACTACACACACACACACACACACACACACACACACACGAATTGACGTTGGATGAAATGGAAAAAACCCTAAAAGGAAAAAGCTGTAAAAAGCTGGCATTTGTGGGGCTGACCTCATCCAAGCTCCACATGTGTCACTTGTGCTCCTGGCCGTGGGGACCCCCCGGGCGTGAAGAGCGGCCAGGCCCCATACGTGCTGGACAGCATTAGTCTGTAGGTATCGCGCTCACCCCATGCCCCGGGCGTCTGCATCCTCCCGCCTGCGCATGGCCCCTGCGTGTGCTCGCCTCGCTGTCGTGACGTCAGGTGTCCTGGGAGGGCTGCAGGCCGCCAGCTGCCCCTGTTCCTGCTTTGCCTTCCTTTCCCTCCAGAAGGGCTGGCATGGGCTCCCAGAGCCGCTGACCCACCACCCAGTACGCACGGCCCTGGGTCCCCAGAGTGTGCAGGAGGCAGCCACCCTGCAGGCCAGCAGAGGATCCCCGAGGGCCCTGGGCCCGGGCACTTGGGACTGAGGTGTGCACAGGCACGCTTTGCCTGAGAGGAGGCGTTGGCTGCAGCTCCAACCTGCCCTGCTGCAGAGGACTTGGCCGGGGGCTGGGCCCCTCGTGCTTGGGGCACCTGTCCCCTTCCTGCCAGCTGGCAGCAGTCATAGTGGCTATCCCTGTGCAGCTGGGAGCAGACCCCGCCACAATGGACTTGGGAGCAGGCCAGCTGCGTCTGGGGTGTTTGCCAGCTGAGCTTGGGAGCTGTGTGTGCTCAGGGCTTGGTTGACACAGCAAGTGACCAAGGGTAGGGACAGCGGGGGCTGGGGATCCTGTGGGGGCTGCTCAGACTGTTTTCATGACCTGGACCCAGAGCAGAAGCAGAGGCAGGAGCCACCCTGGGTACAGGGGAGGCTCGGAAAGCAGGTGGGCTGGGGACAGGGACACCAGCAGGTGGTGGGCAGGTTCACAGGGACAGTGTGCTACCCCAGGATGGTGGTGGCCCCTGCCATTCATGATAGGAGGCACCATGGTGAAGCTGGGGACAGAATAGGAGGACAGTGGCAGGAATGTGGGGCCCTCACTGGAAGTTCAGGGGACTCTACCCCAGTGCTGCCCACCTTCAATTCATGTCATTTTCAACAAGGATTTTCTTTATCTTCCCCCACAAATCAAGGCAGGGGAGGGGCACAGAGTGGGGAACAGGACACAGGATCCCAGGCTCCAAGGGGACTGTCCACCACGGACGTTCAAAGTGAACGACACCTTCTGTCCGCGCCGTGTCCGGGACAGCTGTCTCCATCCACGGACACAGGGTAAACACCTGCCAGGCTCCGAGCAGCAGGCTCTGGGCCACGGACCACGGCAGGGCTCAACACGGACAGTGCTGTGGACCTGCAGCCGGCCACCCTGGTGTCCTGGGGCCTCCTCCTTCCTCTCTCACTCCCCTTGTTATCTCTACGGAGCTGCCTGTCTGGGATCATTTGGGATTTTTTTCTGGGGGATAATTCTTTTGCATGACCCTCCCCAAAGAGCAGGCCATGCCTGCTCTGCTAGCTAGTGTTTGCAGGTGGTGGCATCGCCGCTGGCCAGCGCTTCAGGGCGTCGAGGCCCACGGTGCTGGCGGCCCTCCCTCTTCTCTTTTTGCTGAGTTTCGTTGTCTTTTCTTTCTGAGCCTTGTAGGTGTATAAAAATTATTCTTATTTTGTTCTGTCTCGGGAAACTGCAAATAAAAGAAAAACAGGACAAACTGCTTAAAGTGCAGTTGGATACTTTATACTGGGATGCTGCCAGTCCCATCCCAGGACGTAGACCAGTGCTGTTCCCTGGACCAGAGCCGGTGGTGGTGAATAGGGGCCCAGTCCCTCTGGTGGCCAGTGGGCCACGCCCACCTGCTGTCTCCACCCACCTGTCTGTCCTCTGTGCCCTGTGCTGAACACCTGGGATGCTGGAACCAAAACACTTCAGCCCCACTACCAGGATCTCCACAGTCACCCATGGGCCAAAAAAGTGAAGCCAGGAAGAGCAGTCTGGGGGGTAGAGGAGCCTGAAGACTGGGATCCTGAGTGTCACCATCCCCTGTGCAACTTAAAAGGCATCACCCAGGGTCTGAGCATGGATTTCAGGCCTGAGCTCAGGGCAGGGCCAGGAGTAGCCTGGGCCAACAGGTCAGCCTAGCGAGCTCCCGGGAGAGGTGAAAGGCTCCCTCCGGAGACTCCTCTGGGCCTATCCTCTCCTCAGGCTCTGCCCAAAGGTCCCCCAGCTGCCCACTATTCCCTGCTGCTTGGGTACGCAGCTTCCCTTGGGAACACCGGCCCCCACTTGCACTGCCCGAGCCTCTTGGGTCCTTCTGCAGTCTTGATGCCATCCTGTGAGACACCCTGGAACTCAGCTGGCATCCCTGGCTGCCTGCTTGGAGTAACCGAACCCCATGCCTTGCACCCCTTCATCCCAGGGCTGCCACACACTATTCCTTATGCTTTGGGTTCAGGTAACTTCTGCGAAGAGGGACCCCCCTGCACCATCAGTCCCGTCTCCCACCATCAGTCCCATCCATCAGGAGCCAGGGGTCTTGAGGGACCCCCCCAGAACCAGCCAAAGCTCCCAGGAATCTCCTCCATCCTGGGCACCTGACTACAGCCACCTGGGCTCATAGAGGCGGCCAGCTTCTCAGAGTCTAGCAGGCACACCTGAGCGTGTGCCCCCAAGTGTGTGGCAGGCAGGTGACAGATCCCAAGGGCCACTGCATAGAATATAGGTCAGAGCCCAGACGCAGTGTTGACAGGCACCAGATCTAGGGCCCCACTCGCCTATCGGCTGTAATCGGAGACTTTCCAGGCCAGGCCTGCTCAGGAAGGCTGCAGTAGAGCCGGAGCCTCCGACATGCATTATTTCTGAGTCCCAGTGCCCGCCACCACAGGGCGGCCAGGGGCCTCCGGGGCAGGTGCTAGGGGTGAACTCTGGACACTGGTGAGGGGATTTCATTCACCATTTTAAACCTCACCTACTCACCCAAGCACGTGTCAGCCCAAGAAGGCTGACACGGATCCAGGGTCATTTTCAGGCCAGGGAGGGAGTCTCATGCAAGGCTCAGCCCACCTCCTGGGACACTGGTATGCAAGGGCCATTATCCTCGGCCACCCAGCAGGGGAAGCTGCCCCTGGTTGCAAGGACAGACTCCGCTGCTTATGTGCCCTGTGCAGGTTCCCAGCCACCTGGTAGATGCCAGGTGCTCTGAGCCCAGGGAGGGAAGGGAAGCCTGGGCAGAAGCAGCGCCTCCTTTGGACAGCGCAGCTGACAGCTTCCCAGGCTGCAGCCAGGACCAGAGATCCAGAGTCAGAATGGATGGGCCTCACTCTAGGGCTCCCTCGTGTGGTTAACTGTGAAAAGATGTGGCACCCTACATCCAGGTCCTGCAGCACGTGGCCCCCGCCCTTCAGGACAAACACAGCACAGGACTACTTTGGAATCTCAGAAAAACCTTTTTATCCAGTCAGGAACCTCTCACACAGGACACAGAGAAGTTAGGTAGCAGTTATTAAAAACAGTCTCGCCAAGTGATTGGACGTTAGAATACAACAGGCAGCAGGGAGACGCCAAGGTCCCCTCCACTCTCCCAGGCTCACCCCCACCCTCACCTGCCTCCCCAGTGCGCCTCATCCCTGCCCCTCGGAGTCCAGGCACCTTACCCCAGCTTAGGTGTCAGCGTGTGGCAGTGGGAAAAAGTGACCACAGACCAGTCCAGGGGAGGTCAGAGCCCTCAGGCAGCAACAGGTTCCTGCTCCAAAGGGTCAGTGACCCTTGCTTGCCCCACCCTCAGGCAGCAGGGGAGGGTGACAGCATCCCACAGGGGCTTCCCAGGGAAGACACTCCATATGGACATCTTGGGTACTGCCGGGTGTGGCTTGGGGCTGGGCCTCAGGGCTAAGGAGGGGATGTAGGGGCTCAGTCTTCGTTTGGCTCTGACACAGCCTCCTGATGCCCACAGGACAGACTCTCTATGTGCACAAGTTCCAGGCGGGTCCCCGACAGTCTGGTAGCCAGGGGGACATAAGAACTGTTTAGAGTACAGCACCCATCCCTTTCATCCTGATGACCAGTCACCCTGCTCACGGCCAGTCTGCCTCCCCTGGGCACCTGAGGGCACCTGCATCTGATCTTCCCCAGGGCAAACACTCCCAGCAGGGGTCTAACACCCAGGCCGCCCCGCTGCTCACATGTCCACCTTGGCTCCGTCCAAGCCCTTTGGAGCCATGGGTAAGAGATGCCCACGGTGGGCCCTGTCCTCACGAAGGCACAGAGGCAGGGCACACATGGGGACAGAATGTAAGGGGACCCAGGATTAGTGTCCTCTACAGGCCTGGGCGGGAACCACAGGCCCAGGAGCAGCCTCACAGGCCTCGAGCTCTGCTCAGCCCACCCGCCCGCCTGCTTCTTGGAGTTAATACCATGCACCTACAGGAAACCCCAAGATGTCTGCCAAGGGTGCTGGGCCAGCTCCAAACGGCCTCCCAGGGGCCTGCAGGAGGCAGGAACACACCTGTCTGCATCTGTAGGAGCCGCTCAGAGTTTATAGTTTCATTTTCCTAAAAATACACCTTTGGGGGCCTCAGATTCTTTGCAAAATTCACAACAGACATACAAACTTGGACATTCCCCACCCTTCCACTGTCCCTCGGTTCCCCCGGGGAGCTCAGAATAAAGTGACCAGTCCACTTGGCCTGGGTCCTCAGGGCATCTCCTCCCGAAGCAGTCGATGGGGACATCATTGGCACCGGCCTCTGTGGGCTGCATCACATGACCGCGCAGCACGAGTTTTGTTTCCGAGCCTTAATAGAGACAAAAGTGGAGCTGAGGGGGACCAGCCCACCCTCAGCAGCCAGTAAGGGGATGGGCAGAAGGGGATGGAGTCACCCAACGCCAGTCTCCATGTTCCCACACACGGCCCCGGATACTACCAGGAGGCTGTGCTTCCAAACAATGGCCAGGGTCCCTGCTCTAATCCTCGGGAGCAGCTGTCACATCCCTGCTTCACTCCACCCTCACCCCCGTCCCCACCACCCAAGTGCCACCAGGCCAGCCAGGAGCCAGCCAGCGGAAAGGCAGCCATCAGGAGCCATGGCCACCAAAGGGGAACGGGTGGGCGGCACCTCAGGAGGTGTCCAGCCAGGACGGGAGTGGGGCTGAGTGCCTGTGTCACACAGGAGCCAGTGTGTGGGGCTGGGGTGGCTTCAGAAACTACCCAAACTCGGCCCCCAGCCAGATGGTGCCTGTGAACTGATGATGGGAGACACGAACCCCAGACACACCCTGATGAAATGAAAATAAACTCCGAGGGACCGCCGGAGGGAAGGGCTGGTGGGGGTGGGCAGCAGCCACTCACGGTTTTATAGAAGGCTTTCGACTGCGTTCCCAGGACTTCCGATTTGGACACTAAGTCATCGAGCTTTTCGCCTCGCTCCAACAGAGACTCCATGGTATTGTGCTGGACAGAAGACAAGGGGACATTTGGCTCTGCTCCATCAGTGACTGGCAAGAGCCTCACAGGAGCTGGGACTGGATTCCCACAGGGGACACACAGAGCCCCCGAACTCCCCAGCAGAATCAAACAAGCCATATGGAAAAGGCCACGCACATGCATATATGTTACTCTCAGGCACAAGCGTGCTTGTGTTCTCACGCATGTGCACACATGTGCATGTAGGTGGGGGTCCCACAGGAGGAGACCAGAGTGGGTACCCCGTGGCTGGCCTGGGCTGCACAGTGATCTCTGGAACTTCATGTCCACCCAGAGCCTCTGAGTGGGACCTGATTTGGGACAGATGTCATTAGTTAAGACAGGGTTGCAGTGGGTTAAAGTAGGTCTGATTCAGGAGAAAATAATCGCAGTGACACACAGAGGGGTAGGCCACATGTCACAGATAGAGCCGGAGCAGGGCGCCCACAGTCCAAGGCCTGCCTGCAGCTCCACCCAGAGCCAGGAGATCTGGCACAGATGCCCGAGGATCCACCCGGAAACAGCCTGTGCACACCACAGTCTTGGGCTTCAGAACTGTCCCCTCTGGCCAGTTGTGGGGGTGCATGCCTATAACTCCAGCACTCAGGAGGCTGAAGCAACTGCAAGTTGGAGGCCACCCTGGGTTCCATAGTGAGTTCAAGGCCAGCCTGAAATACATAGCAAGACCCTGTCTCAAAAAATAAATAAATAAAAACAAAAAGCCACTATCCACCCTCTGTTGTTTTGGGTCACCCAGTTTGCGGGTGTTTATTCATGGCAGGTGTGGGTAAGCTGTGTCACCTGACCTGGTAGCGCTGCAGAGCTACCACGCACAAGAGAGGAGACAAGTCCAAACTGAAAGTGCTGCAAATGCACACAAGCTGGGTGTGGTACACCTGTAATCCCACCACTAGGGGAGGCTGAGGCAGGAGGGTCTCAAATTTGAGTCCTGTCTGGGCAACTTAGCTATTTAGTGAGACTCTTTCTCAAAAATGAGGTGAGTGGGGCTGAGGCTAAAGATTTGGCTCTAGTACAAAGGAACTGGGCTCAATCACTAGTACACACTGCAAAAAAAAAAAAAGTGTGAACACCAGATTTCAGTCAGGCTCCACATACAAAAAAACACCTCACTAGTGACTTTTAAAACCTATTACATTTGGACATAATCAAAACAACTACTTTTATCATTTTAAAACATGACTCCTACAAAATCAGAACTACACAACTCCCATGTGCAGTGCATCACACTGCTAGTGGGCTGCACTGCGGGGGACAGGCCCACTCACCCAAATGACACACAGCACGCTGCACTGGGGAAGCCCTTTGGAGAGGGGCATGGACACAGGTCCCAAGAGAAGCAGTGGCCCCTTCTCTCCTGGACTGTGCCAAGACGGAGGAACTCCCACACGAGCCGGTGAGGCAGCAGCCTCAGGCCTCCACCCCACAGGCAGCTGAGCAGCTCAGGCATAAGTGGGAAATGCTGCCAGGAGAGGGGAGCAGGGAGGTTCCCAGCATGGTGTGCACATGAGTAAAGATGTCACCACGAACCCATCATTCTGTGTGATTAGGGTGCACTAGTGTATGGATAAGCCGAACACAAAGATTAAGCTCTAAAAACTGATCTGGATTTTACAACTGCAGCTGAATGGGGCTGAGAACACGGCTGGTCTACTTGCTAGTGGAAAAAGGACAGATAGGACTTGGGTGGAAAACTGGAGACACAATCTCCGTGGTCAGAAAGGCCCTCAGCCCATTTCTACAGCATAGGCACCCAGGGCCCAGGGAGCCAGACGAGGCGAGAGGCAGATGTGGTGCAGGGAGCAGCCCGGGAAACACCGGTGCCAGTCAGGCACCCAGGGGGCTCCATGGACCCTCAGCAACAGTGTGATCCGCGGGAGGCCTGAGCAGGCACTGTGCACAGGCTGTGTGGAGGAGACCTTCGACACTGCCAGGAGGGTGCGGTTTATCAGGGAGGCTGGCACTGCTGACCATTACTAGGAGGGTGACAGATTGAAGCTTGTGACTGAAGGCTGAAGGAAGGAGCCAGTTACAGACAAAGGTCACAAAGACCAAAACTGAGAAGAAAAGCAGCCAGCCAGAATCGAAAGAAAAAATGTAGGGCAGCCATTCCAAATCAGTTTTCACATAAAAACACAAGTTCCCCCAGTATCCTGGGAGGCTGAGGCAGGGAAGCCACAGGTTTGAGCCCAGTCTGGCCAACTTAGTGACTTAGGAAAGTGGAGAGAGGTGGACACAGCTCAGCGCAGAGGTCCTGGGTTCATTCCCAGCACACATATGGACACAAAAGCAAGCTCCAGCTCAATGAGACAGGCCAGGCCTGCAGTGTGGACCGGCTGTCTGCCAGTGCTGCGGGGCCGAGAGCTGCCTCGATGCAGCCTCCCGGGGCCAACCTCAGCTGGGCCTTGGAGCCTTGTAACTACCCAATAGGGAGCAGCCTGGGGAGAAGACAAGGGCGATGCCAGTTCTCAGCCTGGGCCCTACCCAACAAGGGGTGACAGGAACCAGGAGCCCTGGAGGAGGGCGGAGTGGTGAGGATGATGGGGTGGGACCACACTCCTGGGATGGCTGTGGTCAAGATTAATGAGGACTGACTGGCACCAGCTCAGCCCCAGCACACCTATCTGCCCTTCAGATTTCTGGGTTTTTATTTTTTGTGTGTCTAGTTTTCTTTTTTGTACCAGGGATCAAACTCACAACCTCGAGCTTGCCAGGCGGGTGCTTATGCCACTGAGCTAAATTACTGACCCCATTTCTGGGTTTTTAAGAGACAAGGTCTCAATTGATGGAAAAACAAGGTGCTTCCAGGATAAAGAGGAACTGGGGGAATTTGCAACCACCAATTCAACTCTACAGAGAGTATTGCAGGATATTCTAAAAAAGAAAAATACAAAGAATCCAGAAATAGTGGCGGGGAGGCCACAATGAATGGAGCAGAGAACAAAATGAAGACAAACTGACAACTAATGACAGAAAAAAAGCTCAACAGAAATGAGGCAGAGAAGATTGGATGATAGGAACAGCTATTTTGGAGAAAATGACATCTTAATAGGTAATACTGATTTAGTATCATCTTGTTTTGAAGTCTCATCAAACTTTTGTTCTTCTGTCTCCATTGGTCTAAACAGGTTGTATCTTACTGGATTTTATTATGTACGATAGTATAAGCAAAAACTTTTAAAGACAAGGAGATTATACAGAAACCATTGTTCATTTTCTGTTAATTGATTCTAAATACCCTGTAATGCTGTCATTCTCTTAAATGGTTTTACATTGTTTTGATATATTTAATGCTACAATATACGAAGTTGTACTCAAGGATTTCAAGGAAAGAGACAACATGGTAACTACTTTTATGTCAGGATTATCTTGTGGTGAAACACTATTCTGCTTAAATGGTTACGTTTTGATCTGCGCTGTTTTGCTGTTATGCCCTCTTTTATCTCAATCTCCACTCCATTATTTACTTTTTTATTTTTATCCGTTTAATTAAGGGAAAAATAAATTAAAATAGCAGGATATATTATAGCAACCCACTTTGACTTTCCATTATCTTGATTTAAAGCCCTGTATTACTCTCACCATCTTGTTTTTGACTGATGTCCCCCTATTCTGCTTTGCTTGATAGTACCAGGTTCGAAAGTTTAGGCAACAGCTGTGAAGATAGTGAGACTCATTATGACGCCCATTCTCGATGACTTTTATCTACTTTTGAAGACCTACAATGTCTCCAATGTTTTGGTTTTGTCGGTTTTGTTCTTTACTGTTTTGTTCAATTTTATTATAACTGATGATATAGGCAATTCTATTAGAGATAGCGGGAGGCATTATGGTAACCATTATTGATCACCTTGTATTATGCTTTTACATTATCTATTATGTCCACCCTTTTGATTTGATTTGACTCTGTTCTGTTATGTCACATTTGGTTCTACTCCCTTCCAAAAAAGTAATAAGAACTGTGGGAGTAACAAAACCCAAAATGTGTAATAGTCATTGTACAAAAGAGAGGAAAAGAAATTGCTCTAAATGATATAATTGCATGTATGTTTAAGTGTATAAGATAGAAAATGATATCACTGAGTTTTATTGGATCATTGAACAGAACTGTTTGCAGACTCACTGTTGGAATGTCCACTTTACAAGCTTTAATTTTGTGACTTGAACAATTATTTCTAAGATGACAATATGTAATCCATTAACTAGTGATTTCCTACTGTTTATTTTTTTCTGTAAATCTGTATAACTTGTACCCTTTCTCTGCTTTTTTTTTTTCTCCTTAAATAAAATTAAAAAAAAAAAAAAAAAAAAGACAAGGTCTCACTATGGAGTCCAGGCTAGCCTCAAATTCCAGTAGTCCTCTTGCCTCAGTGCAAAAGCTAGAGTTACAGGCATGCACCACCAAGCCTGGCTGCTCCGCTCTCCACCTCCCCACTTACCAGAATGATCTTGGTCTCATCTAGCTCTGCCTGTACTTTACTCATGGGGTCTGCTTCTCGGGGGTTCTAGAAAAAGCCAAAGTAAGAACAGAGTCAGGAGGGAGCAATGACCTGGAAACAGACACAAACAAGGAAGTTGGCCCAGTGTCCTAGGCAGAAAGTCATCTTATTTAAATGCAATGTAAGATTTTCTTTCAGTGAAGGTTCAAGAGAAGACACAGATATCACTGACTCAGACTCCCACAGCACTGTCCCCCCAGCTCCATGTGGGCCCCAACACAGATGTCTCTTCAAAACCAACCTGGTATCTACTGAGGTGACCCTCCAGGGCCGTGTACTGGATGGTGGCGGGGGATCCTACGGGCCAATCTATCCTGTCGACCTGCTTGGAGAATTCATCTAGTACCTGCAAGACAACCAAGTCCCCATCAGCCCCTACTGGTGGTCCCCATCAGCCCCTACTGGTGGTCCCCATCAGCCCCTACTGGTGCTCCCCAGCACCCATGAGGGGCGCCAAGTCTCCCCAAGTGCCCAGAGCTCAGAGAGGGATGACGTCGCCATCCAATGACAAAAGGAGGGTCTGTCTACAACTCCTCTCCCCAGATGTTTCATCATCAAAATACATCCCAAAGATGCAGGAATCAAAAGTGAAGAATGTACAAAATGGCATGAACCTCACCTGAGGAACAATAAAAGGATTTACATTTTAAGTGACAGATTTCTCAGGAAAACGGTACTGTCTTGTATTTTTGCAGAGTAATTTTTCAGAAGGGGAACTAAGCACTTTCAATTTAAACAACCACTGCTGTCACATGCTTGGAGCTATGTGTCTCAGTGCTGTGGGGGATGAAGCCTCTGTCTTCAAATACAATTAACACCACACAAAGAAATCAAAGGATGAGTGTGGTGGTGCACACCTATAATCCCAGCACTCTGGGAGGTTGAGACAGAAGGATCACAAATTCAAACCCAGCATGGACTTAGTGAGACATTGTCTCAAAAAATAAAAAAATAAAAAAAAAAAGAAGGAGAGCTGGGCAATACAGTTCAGTGCAAAAACCTGGGGGCAATCCTAGTGCTGGGGCAAACCAAACAAACAATAAAGTATGCTGAGATGCTAAGCTCCACGCAGCAAGAACTGCCCTATTTTGGGACAGCACTGCAGAAGCAACTCAGCGAGTGAGAGACCCTGAGGAGGTGGCCAAGGTATGACACCACCCACCAACCCAAGGCACAACAGGCCCTGCTCCAGGGGAGGCACTGCAGCCTGGTGGCCAGAACATTGGCAGATGCGCACAGCAGCACAGAGAGGGACCCTGGCTGTCTCAGGGCAAGGGCAGGGCAGAGGGCTCTGAGCAATCATCCTTGTGGAGCAGCCGAACCCCATACCCACCTTCTCCAGCAAGGAAAAGGCCACCCGGGATGGGTACTCGCTGTCAGCAATGACCACAGCCGCAAGACCATCGCTGCGGACATAGACGTGGCACAGGTACTCTGGGGAAACGGAGACTAACATGAGGGATTCAGGCTGCTTTTAGTCCCCCAAACCAAGGCATCACAAAGCTGCACCCCACCCCACCCCTGCCTCCTGTGTGGACCCAAGCCCCAGCTTCAGCTCTGTGGTTCTGGACGGGGTCCTGGAGGGGCCACAGAGCAGCTCCCTGCCTGTACCCAGTGCTCAGGCCCAGCACTGCCAGCCCTTTAAGGCTGGAAAGAGACACCAGGATGAGCAAACACCCAGGCTCAGTCCTGATGACTCATAGCCTTCTGAGGCTCTGTGTTGCTCCCAGACTGAGGGAAGCAAAGACAAGCAGCCCCTACTAAAACACAAAGATGGAAACCCTTTCTGAGGGCCCTAAGCTGGGAAATGACTCTTCTGGTTTCGGTCTCCCAAGCCATGGCAACTGCCCCACCTGCTCCAGCTGTGCTAAGCAGCTGGGGCTCTTGCTGGGGAAAAACCGGGCAATGGCTGGCCGAGGTCTCTAGTATGACTACTGTGATCAAAAGGTATGGTTTCGGGGCTGGGGATTTAGCTCAGCGGCATAAGCACCTGCCTTGCAAGCAGGCAGTCGTGAGTTCGATCCCTGGTACCGATAAAAAGGAAAAAGGCAAAAAAAATAAAAGGTATGGTTTCGCCCGGTGTGATGGCACATGCTTCTAATGCCAGCATGCTGGGCGGCTGAGGAGGGAATGCAAATTCAAGCCCAGCCTAGGCAACTTAGCAAGGCCCTATCTCAAATTTTTAAAAATACAAGGGCTGAGGACACAGCCGAATGCAAAAGCCCTGGGTTCATCCTCAGTACCACAAAAAGTGTGTTTTGGGGCTGGGGGTTTGGCTCAGCAGCATAAGTGCCCACTGGCAAGCTCGAGGTCTTTAGTTACATCCCAGGTACAAAAAAAAAAGTGTGCTTTGCATAAGGACTTCAGCAAAACAGCCAGTGCCCAGGACTGCGGCCCATCCACACCTGGAAAGGGTTCAGTGGTGACAGATCTACCCACACCTCTAATGTAAGAGCAATGTAAGGATGACAGCTTGTGAACATGAACCTTCTCATCCTTACAGATGTGACCCGAGAGGCTCTGTGTTAAACAACAAAAAACCCCAAAAAAGCGGAAACACTTCGAGCCTGAGATGAGGAAAGAGCAGGATCGATGAGAATGGCTGAGGGGGTGGGGAGTTAGTGTCTGCGCACTGCGTTTTGGGTACACTCCCAGGTAAGCAGAATTCAAACACAGGGTTGAAGCGCACACATCCCACGGAAAGTATGAGCCTGGTAATGAAATTAGGAAGGGCAGACAGACTGAAGGAGCAGACAGAGCACACTGAAATCTTCCTGAGTCAGCTTCACTTCCGTAATACTCACAGCACAGGGATCCCACACGGAGTAACACATTCAGCCCTGGCTGACACTTCTGCCATCGCTCTAGGGACTCCGCAGTAAGTGACCTGGGGCCAGTGCACATGTGAGGTGGTCGTGGTTTCTGCCTGACGAAACTCAGGTGACTTTTTCCTAATCTGTGTAACTTATGAGTCTAAAACAAATGCTTACAAACTGTAACACAAGACGACTCATGCAAAAGAAAAAAAACAATGAATTTTCAGGTTTCTGGTCAAAAAATCTAAGGTGCACAGAATGTAGCCTTCCCTCACCAGCACTGCTGGGAGGCTCTTCAGAGGGGAAAGGGAAGAATGTGAAGGCTGCTTATTGCTGCAAGCAAGTCAGACCTTCATCTTAAGTGAGTCCAAGTTTAGGGGGCCACTGTACCCAAGAAGCTTAGAATTTACCAGTGGGCATGGGAGTCTGATAGACAGGAAGAGGAGGAGAGAATGAGCTAGCAGACGGGTGGGGTGCACGTGCTCATGGGGGGCTGTGCTGCCCAGGTGTGAGGCCCTGGCAGCACATACCTCAGCAAGCCTCTTACCTTGCTCTTTGACCGAAGCTCTGCTGCCTTTCGCCGAGCGCTCCACAATCAGTTGACTAGTGAAGGTCATGAATTCCTGAACACTAAGAAACACAACACACTCTTATTATATTCTTCTGTCACCTTGACCCCAACACAGTGCAAAGTGACCTCTTAGCTTACAAGTTAAAGAGACATTGCCCCTTGGTTTCCTTCCTTTCCCTTTTAACCTTAGTAACAAACACTGAAAATGGACACAAATACGGACAAATATGAACCATCACCATCACTAACATCATGCTTTGTGTGACACCTAGCTCACAAAAACAACCCACTTTCAGGCTTCAGGAGAAACTTTCAATCTATAGTCAATGTGACAATTGATCAGAGGAGAAAATTAGGCAGCTCACGGCCTAATTTCCAAGAAACAAACATAAAATGCATTAGAAAAACATCAGGGGCAAAAACTGCAGGCAGCTCTACTGCTATTGCCACACATTGGACCTTGGCAATGCCATGTGCTGCCACCAGCTGAGGATGGGCCATATGCATTCTGGGAGGATGGCAAAGACACAGCCTGGCCAAGACAAGGAGGTGGGGACAACTTGTACAAAGGCTAAGGAAAAAAGTCTGTTATGGGAAAGAGCGATGTGGCAAAAAGGGACAGTCACTCAAGATGGTGGAGCACAGAAATAGAGGCTAAGACAGAACCTCTAACAGGGGTGCAATGTCAAGGGGAGCAGAGGCCATCAAACAGGGTCTTCAACTAGGAGCCCAAGCCTTCCATGAGGGCCCCCACAGCGACACTAAGATGGAACTCTGGAACCCAGCTCCATACTCAGCAGGTGCCACGCAGGTTTCTGCACTGTGCCTTGGTGCAATCATGCCATGGGTGAAGATTAAATTAATTAATACACTCAAAGTGCTTGGTTCCGTGCCCAGACTAGCTATTATTATCATGGGTGAACTAGACCAAAATAATCATAGAAAAGAAATCATAGAGAAGCTAAGTCCCTCAAATAAGGAGGAACTTGTACAACTAAAAAGATATAGCAGGTAGGAGTATAATCAGATATGGGAAGAAATGTGCTAGTTGTGAGCGTCAGTATACAACAGCCAAAAGAGCTGGGACACTATTAAAGGTTTTAAGCTCGCAGGCTGGTAGTCATGGGACATGAAGGACAGGAGTTAGGCGGTCGCGTGAGAAACCGAGGTCAGCTGGAGAGCAGTGCCTCCAGTAGAGATGTCTGCTTCCTGCCACAGCTGAATCACCTGAGACTAGCGCAGGAATCCCAAAGAAGCGAGGGGGAAATCCTACAGGGAAATCTCTGAGAATCTGTAGTGTAAATGGAATAGAAAGAAAACCAAAACAAGAACAAGTTGGCACCAAAAATTCCAATCAGAAAAAAGCAGTTACATAAAGCAGAGACTGGAGGCCAAGGCAAAGAAAGAGAAGAATCCAGAACTACAAGGCTGAGCCCAAAGATGATGCAGTAGTTCCACTTGTGGATACAAAACAAAGAAAACTGTAAGCAGGTTGTTAAAAAGATGTTTGTACACTCGTATCCACATTAGCACATGTATTAGCATTATTAATGCTAATAACTTAGCATTATTTGTAACAGCTAAATGTGGAAGTAAGCTAAGTATACATTGGCAGATGCATGGGTAAGCAAAATGTATATATCATGAAGGATTATTTGGCCACAGAAAGGAAGGAAATTCTGATACACTGACCAACAAAGATGAACATTGGGACAGCAGGCTAAGTGAAATAAGCCATACACCACAAGTTAAATACTGCGTGATTTCACTTACATAAGTTTCCTTGAATAATCACTACTGTACAGACAGAATGGTGGGAATGTATAGCAAGAAACAGGGAAAGATAAGGGGAGTTAGCATTTAATGGGTACAGTTTCAGTTTTAAATGATTAATATGATACATTTGTTAAGTGTATTTTAGCCCCTACACACACACACAGACACACACACAAAGTTTCAACAGAGGTAACAGAAATTGTTTCAGATCGGGATGCAAAGTACTCCCATCAAAAAGATACTGAGGCCCTGAAGCAAAGAAAACTGAAAGCAGATTTCCCTAGAATTTGAGACTAAACGACCAGAGGGACCTTGTGGGGTATTTTCCCTTTTGTGCTCCAGTCATTCTGCCCCGCTGTATACACGGCTTCCCGTAATTCAGTGTCTGAAACATTTAAGAGTCCTTAAGCCTTACAGATTGGAGGCTTCCTTCCAGATCTAAGGTGTTCCAAACCTGTTGTACCACTAGGGTGAACCACTAAGAAGCATACGACCTGGTTCAATCTTAACTCATTGTAATGGAACCTTATGGAACCTCAGAGACTTCACCCATTAAAAAAACGAACAAGTGGGAAAAAAAGAAAATGAACAAACCCTATCAATTTCTCACATACTGAATCGCAGGGAAGATCAGTGAGGAAATACAAAGATAGATCTCAACACAGAGCACCCAGATCCTGGTCCGAATCAACACTTGGGTGTGACGTGTTGGTTTAAAATTCACTTTCCCGGGACTCGCCCTACCAGATCAGGACACCTGGGCGTAAACTGGGAATCTGTATTACTTCAAAACCCTCTTTTACTCTTTGTAGGTCAGGAATTATGCTAGACGATTCCCAGAGGTTCGAGACCCAGCCCGCCCCGTCCCGCCCGCCGGCCGCTCACCTGGACCTCTGGAAGAAGCTGAAGGAGGACACATCGTACGCGGCCTTGAGCAGCCCCACCTTGGACTCGCTTTTGTACAGGACGCTCAGACTGTACAGCTTCATGGCGCCGCCCTGGGCCGCCCGCCCGCTCGCTCAGCCCAGCCCAGCCTCAAAGCCAGCACAGCAGCCGGCTGGCGACGGGGCCGCGCCGGCTTCCGTCTCCGGGCTCGGAGTCCACTTCCGGTTCCTGTCAGAGGCCGCTCGCTGGATGTGGGCGGGGTCTTGCCCCGGATGCAGAATCTGGCTGCCGGAAGTGCGACGCGGCGCCCACTAAGCGCCGGTGCAGTTTGGCGTATCGCTCCGCCCCGGAAGGAGCGGCGGGCCCGTTGCTTTTGCTGTCTCTTTAAGGGCTTTCAAAGGAGCTCTTTTGCCCAGGACCGCGCTGGGCAGTGCTGTCACCTCCCTCCTCCACGCCGTGAGTGGGAACACAGTATTTCCTAGTCCGCGTGACCCAGAGAAGCGCGAACGAATCGGCTCTGTGGCTGTGGACACCGGCAGCTCAAAAAGCAGATCTGAATATAGGAAAGGATCCTCTCCTCTATGGCCCTGTCCTGGGCGGGAAGTGCTACGCTGCCAGTGCTGCAAGAGGCCTCAGGCCCCATAGACCTTCAGCACAGGACCCTGAGCCTCCGCTGACCTCGCAGTCGCAGAGTCTGTTTATCTCAGAAGGGAGCAGAAACTCAGCTTTACTGTGCAAGGGGAAGTTTGGTGCACAGCGACCTGATTTTGCTTCAGTTGTTGAAATCATGCAAGCCCATGGATGGAGATGAGCGAGGCACAGTATCCCAAAGCTATCACTCTTTGTCAGTTTCCTGTGTACTAAGTGTCATCATGTAATCATAATGGACCTTGGTGCTCATGGCACCGTGCGCCTGTAGTCCCAGCTACCAGAGACTAAGGCAAAAGGATCTCTTGAGCCCAGGAGTTTGGGGCCAGCCTGGCCAGCCACCTAGCAAGATCCTATACAAACAGAAAATCCCCTTGGCCTCTAGAACTAGGCAATAAGATCACAGAATCATGCTGGAAGCATAGAGATCGAAAATGATATGGGAAAGTTGATATATTGGGAAACCAGCAGAGTCACCCCACGATCATTATTCTAAATCAGGACTTCTCAAGTTCCAACCCTATTGATACTGTAGGTTAGATCATTGTTGGGGGCTTGCTATTTTGCGCATTGCAGGCAGCTTCGCAGGCCTTGTGCCCAACAGGAATCAGTACCAACCCACACCCATCATGGCAACTAAAATTGTGTCCAGAAATTGCCAGAGGTACACTAGAGCTGTGTTTTAGGAAACCATTGTTCTGAATATTTCTGTGGCTAAGGAACGATGACCTATATTCAGAAAAGTTACTGCAGCTTAAAAGAAACCCTCTGGCACTGTCACAGCCACAGTTTGCAAAATGTGCAACGTAGTATCAATTAGATGTACATTCCTGAGGTCTTTTATCTGTTGTAGTTTTGTCTCTTTCTTTTCATCACATCAGGTGTATTGCCCGTAAACTGTGGTTGTGGTACTAGGAGTAAAAAATTAAGCAATTTTTAACTTTTCAAAAAAACTTCGGTGGCCAAGGAAGTTCCCACCTCCTGCCCACTCTACACACCCTGGCCAGCCTTTTCCCTGGGATTCCCAAGTGCACAGGAGGCAGGGGTTTTCCACATCTCCCCCATTTTGGTGGTAAAACACCAGGAACAGCCATTGGTGGTGGCCAGGCTTAGCCAAAAACCCTGCTGCCACACATATGCCATAGATTCATCACTGCTGCACTAGACTGGCCAGCCAGGTGGCAGGGTACTATCAATCCAGCCCCACATTCCCATACTGACACAGTAGCCTGACATGGGCAGGTCAGAGCTATTATTTCTGGAGAAAATTCCTAGAGCTCCTTGTCCTTCAGCACCCATAATTGCACTAAAGGACCAGGAGGCTTGGATGGAACAGATTCACTGTATCCACTTGACCCATAATAGAAGCTGCTGTTTCCTTTGCTCCAGCCACTTCCCATGTGCTATGGCCTTTAATCCTCATGAAACAGAAAGTTATTCCTCCTACCTCACATAGATATAGGTTCAGGTTAAACAAATTATTAGTGTGAGGCAGAGCTGGAGTTCAAATGTGAACACCAAAATGCTTAGCAAACTCCTATACCTCAGTTCTATTCTTGGCAACTGCTTTCCCTCGTCCCCCTCCCCTCCTCCCACTCCTCTCGCTCCACTGCGCCTCTCTCTTCCTCCTCCACCACCTCTTTCGCTCTTTGCGGCCTGCCCTCTCCTCCACCTTCTTCTCTTTGAGGCCCTCTGCACGCAGTCGGCCGCTGCCTCCATGCTCTTCTCTGATATGGTGCCGGGGTGCCGGAGTACCCGGGCCCAGACCTAGGGGCCCTGGACGGCTGAGGGAGCCTCTGCAGGAAGCTGGCGCGGCAGCTACAGCAACAGAGGCAGCGACCACTCAGCGAGCTGCGTCTCCGCGAGGCGGGGCGGAGGTTTCTACCTGGAGGGCGGGGCTAGGTCAAGACGCCGGGCTTGAGCCGGGAGGGCGGAGCCCGATGGCCAGTCGGGGCGGAGAGGGGCAGGGCTGAGGGCGGGGCTGGGGGTGGGGGGGCTGAGGGCAGGGAGGGCGGGGCTGAGGCCGGGGAGAGCGTTGGGCGAGCTGGGGCGTGGTGGCTTGCAGTCCCCTCATCAAGGAGCTGCAGCCTAGCAGTCACTTCGCTTGTTTGTTTTGAGAAACATTCTTACTACGTTGACCAGGCTGGTCTCGAACTCCTGAGCTAAACCGATCTCTCACCTCAGACTCCCACGTAGCCAGGACTACAGCATGTACTACTATGCCTGGCTTTGGATATATTTTAATTTCCTGGCTTTGGTCATTGTCTTGACCATTTCTCTCCCTAGGATAAAACAGCTGACAACTGCAACCAAAGGAAGGAGAGGTTTATTCTGGCTCAGGTTTCAATCCATGGTCGCTGGTTGCAAGTCTCGACGGCCTAGCAAACCTGGCGCACAACGGCTGCTGGTGAATGTTCGCCCAGAAATAGAGAACAGAGGAGCCAGGGAGGGAGAGAAACCTTGTAGGCCACACCCTCAGCGACCCATTTTTCTGATCAGACCACACCTCCCAGCACAAAGCCAGGCATAGCACGCCAGGATCCAGTCGCCAAGCACAAGGCCCTGGGTCAGGGTTGGGGGAGGGGGGAAGGGGGTGTGGTGCAGATATAAACTGTAATAGCGTGCTGTGCTTGGGGAAGAGATTTCCTTGTTTCCTGGAGATACAGATGGGGTAAGGGAACATCATGTCTTCAGCTTCCTTTTAAAGCGTTCGTGCATATGTGTACGTGTGTGTGTGTGTGTGTGTGTGTGTGTGTGTGTGTGTGAGTTCATGTGTGTATGAAAGAGAAAGCAAATACAGTGATGCAAATTTAGGGAATATATATGAAGAACATCCAGGAATTGCTCATTTGGTTCTTGTGTCGGTACTCAAGTCTGAAGTTACGGAGACAGGGATTTCAGAGCAGGACACTGAGGTGATGAACACAGCATGCACTACCTTGGGGGGTGGGCATAGCGGTTGTGCTCAGTTCTGCTGTTGGTGCTGAGCCCTGGAGAAAAAAAACCACTTAGCAGGCATGACAGGAGCCACACTGGAAGCTCATGACCCCGTGAGTTTCCCCCTTGGTCAAAGCAGTACCTACCTGCCTTTGTAGCAGAACTCCAACAGGCCAGGTAAAAAGCTGGTCTAGGGATGTACCCCAAGGAAGTCAGTGCAGATTAGGAGCTCAGCTACACCATGCCCCCTGCTCCTGCACCCCCTCATCCAGTTAGCCAAGGCCAGGCAGCTGACCTGTTTCCCTCATATGAGAAAGGGAGGTGGAAGGGAGCGTATGATTGGGTTTCCATGACCTGACCAATCACCAAAAATCAAACATTTTTTTTTGCAGCGTTGGAGTTTGAACCCAGGGCCTTTCACAGGCTAGGCAAGTGCTCTACCCTTAGAGTATTCTACACTCTCAGCCCAAGTACACAGATGGGATGCCGTCAGGCAGAGTTTTTAGAAAGCCAAGCCCTGGGAACACTACCATTGCCCCCTTGTTGATGTGTTCCAGTTTCTGCAGGGTTCTCCGGACCAGAGGAAAGACAGACATAGTCTGCCACCAATGGCCTGAGTTCTGCCACCAGCTACATCACTAATATGTCACTAGTAACCGGGGTCCTGATGCTGAGGGAACTGGGCCTTTACTCCTTGGTCCTTGGTTCTTTGATAAAAGAATTCAGTTGACACACAGAAGTGGCTGTGCAGAAATCTAGGCAGAATTGTAAAGAAGATCTAGAGGAAGTTACACCTTTAGATAAGTAGGCGGGCAGTGCCACCAAGATAACTGCACTGAGTGAGAGTTTGGTGCTTTTTATGCACAATAATTCCTGGGGCTGAGAACCATGGTGATTATGATGTTTATTGACATTTTTCTTAGAAGTTACTTTGAAATTGTATAATGTCTTCTTGTCCTTTTTAGATGGGTAGTCTTTTCTGAGGGACTTTAATCATGTAAGAAACTTACAAAAGATAAATTCTTCTTTTAAACCAAGTCTCAGCTCAAAGCAGGAGGGTCTTCAAGAAACATTTGCTTTCCTGGTACCATTGGGCTATAGTCTGTGGCAGCCAGGAATGCCCTATACCTTGCTGTGAAACTAGACTGCCAGGTGGCCAGGTATCAGCAGGGCTGAGCACAACATGTAACCTTAAATGTCAGTGTACTCTGTGGGATGGCTTTCCAGATGAGACCTACCTAATGATTATAAATGTATTATACAATGAAGCCTTTACTTAACTGGCATCACATGCTAGTTTGAAACTGGGCCCACTAATATCTAACTACCTGCCTAAGAAAACAAGAAAGAGGCAGGGACCCAAGTGCATCTGGATGGGAAGTAATCTCAGCTGCGGAAGACAAAAGGTGGGGAGCCAGGCAGAAATTCTCAGAATTGAGGAGGCAAGTGCCTCCTTTTAAGACTGCCTTCTCTGCAGAGGTGTCCCAGAAGCTGCATTCGTCCTAGAGACACTCCTCCCCAGCTGGGGAGTTGGCCACCCTGGACAAAGACCAGGAACTTGGACTTGGAATACACTGCTGTTGAGACAGCTAGATTGCCTTATGATAGCTATGGTGCTTCCCTACACAGAATGTGGGAGAAAGTCTGCAAGGAAGACAAAGAGGGGATGAGCAGCAAGGCCCTGCAAGGGTGTCCGCTGCTCCAAACCTGTGTATGCACACCTCCCGCAGCTTTGGTGGCACCAGGCCCCACTCGAGAACAGAAAGGAGGATGCAAAGGTCATGAATGCATTAGACAGGGTTCACTAGAGGGTGTATTTAATATAAAATATATGGGAGCTTATATGAAGGATTTACTAGGTATTCTTACAGGATCAGAAGTGGAAGAGTCCAAACAGCCATCTGCCAGATCAGAGGGGGAAAATGTAAACTGGCCATGTGTGTGCTGGAGAGCAAGGGGATAGTGTTGAAAGTCCAAGGCCTGGAGTCTGGCTGAATCCATGCTGAATGCTGAAGGGCATGTTTTGAGCCTGAAGAGTTTGCACCGGAAACCCGCAGGAGTTGGAGACATATGACCACAGGCAATAGTGAGGATCAGAGCTTCTCCAAAGAAGAGAGGCAAGCTTTGGAAAACTGGGGTGTAGCCAAATTCCTACTGCTGGCAGAAGCTCTGACACATTGCTGAAGTCGTTTGAAGAGGCCTGTAGTCCTCTCTGCCAAAGCGGTAGACACACAGCATCTGAGCTAGAAATCCAGCTCCTGCAAGCCATCCAGAAGAAACACCCACCCGTGTTTAATCCGGTGAAATACTAAGATTTCTATTGCAGCACTGAAAAATGAAAACTACCCTCCATGCCAGTCAATAAAAGTTGATTTTAAAGGGCAGGGCATCGCTGCCACTTGTCCTTACCCCCCACTGGATCTCAGGACCACAGAGGCTTAGGGCTTGGTCCTGAGTCCTCTCGCCCTATACCTGCACCGTCCCATCCGGTAACCACCAGCATGTGGAGTGCAGGAAAAATCATCCCTGACTGAGAAATGCCATAAATATGCACTGAATCAGAGTCCTTTGCCAGAAACAGCACACTGGGTCTAGACTATGGAACAACCCCTAAGCCAGAACCTGGGAAGGCTCTAGCACCCCGACCTCCAGTTCCATCTGCCCGCTGACCTCTGTGCATCCGGGTTGGGGCTTCCTGGGGGAGGGCAGGAAGGGGCTCTGTTTCGGAAGCTTCAATCTCAGCCAGGCTTCAGTGGTTCAGGCTTCAGGGTAGGTGGGAGGGAAGACAGCAAAAAGCTCCCTGAGGGTCCTGGCACGTGGAGGGGGCCCCTGCTTCTTTCTGCTGGCCCCCAGACTTCTCTGTTCCTTGGATGTGAATGCAGGAGACTCTGAGGTACTGGCCTGGGAACTGAGCAGGTGGCACTGTCTTACTACGTTGGGGTTGCTGTGGTAACAAGGTGACGGAGCAGTCACCCTGGTGATGGGGATGGAAGCCTTTTGCCATCAGTCCCAGTTTTATGCATGGCAGCTCTAATAACAGAATGGTCACCATGGCGACCATGGGCCCTCTCAGGGTCAGAGGCCCTGGCAGGAGAGTCCTCTACTCCATACCTGGAGGGAGCAGGAACTAGTGAGTGATTCCGGGGCCCAGATAAGCAGGCTGGGGCGTGAGGAACGCAGTCCCCTGCAGCCTCGTTACCCAGCGCTGTCTGCAAGCCACTGGAGGGGACAGACGTTTTCTGCTGACTCTGTTGACAGGCCATCTATTCCTCTCTGCTCATCACGGCCCCAGGAAAGTCAACGTGAGGACGTGGCCTGGGGCCTCCATGGCCCTCCCTGGAGAACATCCGGCCTGAGGGGGCCACCAAAGGGAAGGGGCTGGAACAGACAATGAAAAGGAGGAAACTGTGATTGAACCTCAAATCCCAAACCAGCCTGAGGTGGACCGTCATCTCCCAGAGGCCCTAGGCTGGCCGGGACTGAGCTGGGAGAAGCCGGGATATCTCTGCTTTGGAAGCCTGGTGGGGGACACTGCAGGGTCCCAGCTCCCCGGGCTGGCTGCTGCGCAGATGCTGGATGACAGAGACAGGATGGAAGCAGCCAAGAAAGAGAAGGTAGCTTTGTTTGTGTGGGGCATTCTGGAAGCATCCATGTTCCTCCTGTCCTAGGCACCCAGTGGTTCCTCACAGTCTGGTTTACACAGGATCTAGGGCACCTTGTGGGGCTGCAAGGCCTCTGCTTCCCAGACTGGCTCTGCACCTGGGCGTCAGAATACCTAGAGGTCCCTGAAACAGTCTCCACTGAGGAGAGGCTCTGAGGGGTTCAGAGCCCCCACTAGGGGGTTCATGGGACTGGGGTTTTAGTGGGCAGAACTCACTGCTGGATTTTGAGGCAGCACCACATTGTGACCAAGGCACCTAGAGGAAGGCTTCCTCTTCTGCCCAGGAAGCATTTCCCAGGAGCCTAGGAGCAGGGGGCCCCTGGGGAGGAGGACAGAACAACCACTCTTTCCAGCACCAAATGGAGGTCCAGGTGTCCTCTGAGCAACCCTGGGCTGGAATGTGAGTAAAAAGAGACGGGAATGGGGCACAGGCTATGAAACGCTGTGGGAGAACACACCCACGCCTCCCCTGCTTGGTGCAGGATTCAGTCCTTGGGCATGTTTTCCCCTGGGTCCTCTCCTCCTCTGTGTGAAATGACAAAGTCAGCACAAATGCCCGCCCGTGCGCTGCTGTGGAGCTAATGATGGCAAAAGAAAGAAAAACAACCTTTCTACCCAGGGGGCCACACAGTGCAGGCGGTAGACAGCCTGGGTCCTGGGCCAAGTCCTACTAGTGCCTGTCCCTGGAGCTATGTTTTGGATCAGAGATCCTGCTCAAAGGGGATGCTTCAGGCCATCCAGGGACGGATGATGATGTCTTCGATTGGCAAAAGCAGAGGCCTGGCTAGACATGGTGAAGGCAAATGTACGGGCTGGAGATCTGGTGCTTTTCCCCAGATGTGAAGAGAAACCCTGCTGGGTGTATTCCTGTGTACTTGCGTGCTCCTGGGTGAACAGTGAATCCCTTCAAAAAAGACCCAGCAGAGCTATCCTGAGCCTGGTTCATAGCAGCCTGTAGGGTGAGCCACCTCATGGACTGGGTCCCCACACTCAGTCTCCAGGGCTGCCCCACGGCCTTCCCATTTCTGGGAGAGGTGCTGGTCCCAGCTATGAAATAGGGGGCCTGGGGCTCAGGCCCAAAATTGAAGGAGATCAAAAATGGCAATTATCAAGACAAACACTGTTTCAAATGGTATTGTTTAGAAGTCTAGTTTTTCTTAGTATATGACTGCAGAGCATCATGATTACACGCATCATGGAGAATCAGTTCGGGCCCTTTTTATGCCTCCCCACTTCCTTCCTCTCTATTTGCATCTCTTGGTCATCTTCCAATCTGAAAAAGCTCCACCTATCTTATCTATGTTTTAGGTTCCTTTTTATTTCTACTTTGGATTTTCCGTGTGAGAAGAACCACGGGATATTTAAACTTGTGTGTGTCATTTACTCACTTAACGTTATGGTCTCATGGAACATCCATCTTCCAAAAATTACTCAGTTTGTCTTTTAGCAGACTAATATTCCATGGGTGTGTGGACCGTATTTTATATATGCATCCATCTGCTGATGGACATACAAGAAACTTTCAAAATGGAGCTATCATGAATTGTGCTACTGTAAACATGGGTATGTGTGGGTTGCTGTAATGCAGTGTCTAAGTCTTTTGGGAGGGGAATAGTTAGGTCAAATGGAATTTCTATTTTTAGTTTCTTTTTCTTTTTTTTTTGGCTTTTTTGTTTTTATCAGTATCAGGGATCGAACTCACGACTGCCTGCTTGCAAGGCAGGTGCTTATGCCGCTGAGCTAAATTCCCAGCCCCTCTATTTTTAGTTTCTTGAGGAACCAACATATTGATTTCCATAGTGGTTATACAGCTTTACAGTCCTGCCAACAAGGCACACGGCTTCCACCCTCCACAGTCTTATCAGTATTTGTTATTACTTGATATCTTTATGGTATCCGTTTCTTCTGGAGTAACGTGGAGTCTCAGTGTTGTTTTAATTTGCATTTCTCTAATGCCAAGCAATGCTGGGCATTCCTTTATGTATCTATTGGCCATTCATACTTTTTCCAAGAAATATCTGTTCATTTCTGTTGTCCATTTTTTGATTTCTTCTGATGTTCATTTCTAATTTCCTTGCACTATGATCTGGGATAATTTTGCATCATTTGTATTTACTTAAGCATGCTTTATGGGCTAATACGTGGTCAGTTTTGGAGAAAGTTCCATGTTCTGCTGGAAGAATGTGTTCTGCTTTTGTTGGGTGAAACACTGTAGACATTTATCTAGTCCATTTATATGAATGTGTGGTTCAACTCTGATATTTTTTTGGGTGGGGGTGTACCAGGAATTGAACTCAGGATCTTGCACCTGCCAGGGAGGCACTGTACCGCTGAGCTATATACATAGCCCTCAATTCTGATCTTTCTTTGCTGCTATTTTTTGTCTAGTTGATCCATTTATCACAGTGGCATAGTGACTCTCCCACCACAATTGTGTTGTTGTTTACTAGATCTTTAATATGCAGTAGTGGTTTTTCTTTCCTTTTTTTATTAGTCCATGTTTGCAGTACATGATGTTTACTTGTGTGGAGTTGGTATATGTACATAATACATCTTCATTCATTTTTTCACCTTCTTTCTTTCTCCTTCTTCCCTTGCTCTTTGGGGATCTCTTGATCCCTTCCTATTTGAGGAAAAGCTATCTCTCTACTTCCTATTATCTTTTATTTTTCTTTTAACTTCTAACTTGGGTTTCTTATATTGGAGGAACTTTATGACATTTAAGCTTGTGTGTCTGATTTATTTCACTTAATATTATGACCTCAAGGTACATCCATTTGCCTACAAATGACTCAAGCTTCTATTTTTATGGCAAAGTAGTACTCTACTGTATATAAATTTCTCATTTTCTTTATCCATTCATCTGGTGATCAACATATAGGCTGTTTCCAAGATTCAACTATTATGAGTTGTTCTGCTACAAACATGTATGCATGTGTCACTATAATATAATATCCTTAACTGTTTTTGGAAAATATCTAGAGGGGAAAAGCTGGGTTCAAATGGAATTTCTATTTTTAGTTTTGTTTGTTTATTTGTTTGGTTGGTTTGGTTTGGGGGGTTGTTGAGAGAGGGTCTCACCATGTAGCTACCTTGCGCTGAGTTACCATGTAGCCCAGGCTGGCCTCAAACTCACAGTGACCCTCCTGCCTCAGCCTTCTGAGTGCTGGAATCACAGGCACATGGCACCACACCCTGGGTGTTATGCTATTTGTATCACTGTATCTTTGCAATACAATTTCAAGTCAGGGATTGAGATGTCTCCCACTTTCCTCTTTTTAGCAGGATTGCTTTTGCTATTCAAGGTCTCCTCTGGTTCCATATGAATTTTAGGATTGTTTCCTTTAGTCCTGTGCTGTTAGTATTATGGTAAATCTGCATATGAATTTTCGGAGTTTGGCCATTGTGACTACATTGGTTCTGCCTATCGAGGAAGAGAGAAAATCTTTCATTTTCTGGTGTCCTCTTTGATTTTCTTTTCCATCATACTTCCATCATATGTTCTTCACTGTAGAGGTCTTTCATTTCCTCAGGTTAATTGCTAAGTATTTAATTTTTCTCGGTGTTATTTTGAATAATATTTCTTCTTGTTTTCTTTCTCCTATTGATTCATTATTTGTGTGCAGAATGCTATTGATTTTGTGTTCTGATACATTACTGTATTTGGTTACTAATTCTAAGAGTCTTTTGGTGGATTTTGGGGGTTTTCTATGTAGAAAATCATGTCATCTGCAAATAATGATAATTTTTAAAGATAATGATAATTTTCTTTTCCTATATGTTCCTTTTATCTCTTTTTCCTGCCTGATCACTCTTGCTCATGTTTTACATAACATGTTGAACAGAATTGGTGATAATTGACATTCTCATCTTGTTCTTGATTTTAGAGGGAGAGCTTCCAGTTTTTTTTCCATTTAATATGATGTTGGCAGTAGGTATGTTATAAATGGCTTTTATCAAATTGAGACAAAGTCCTTCTAGATGTATTTTTTTTCAGTGTTTTTATCATGCAAAGATGTTGGATATTGTCCAGGCATGGTAGCACATGTCTGCAATCCCAGAACTCAGGAGGCTGAGGCAGGAAGATGACTGCAAGTTCAAGGCCAGCCTGGGCTACATAGTGAGTTCAAGACCAGGCTACACTACAAAGTGAAGCCCTGTCTCAAAAAAATGTTGGATTT